CTGCCTGTGGCAGGGGGTCGGACTTGATGATCTGCTCAGGTCCCTTCCGACCCTACCAACTATGAAACTAGGGTATCATCAGATACTTTGAAGGGTGCTGTGAGGTATGAGAAGATGACCGGATAAATTGCTGTATTGACTTAAATATTTAAGACCGGGGGGGGGAGCAGCAAGCCCCTTGTCTTATAATTGTGTATAAGGAAATTCCATTAAATGTATTGCTTATCATTGAACTGCTGCCAAACACAGCACATACTCAGCAATGGAAACCAAATATGAAGTTCATTAAATGAAGCCAACACTGAGCATGACTATATAAAACACATGGCCCACGTTGGGCTGATGGGAGCCGACCCCAAAGATAGGTTAGTGCAGCCCATCTGAATAAAATATGTAGTAGTGCCCATTGTATACAGTCCCCCTCAGCGCCAACTTGTTTTGAAGTCATTGGGACCCACAGCATGGTGTAATTTCCTCTTCGCTCCCACATCTGAGCGGTACTTTTCTTTCCCATTGCCAATGACTCCTGTTTCTTCACCAGCCTTAAATGTCTGGCAAACATCACCAAACAGGACCCCAAACAGTTCACCAAGAATCCCTTGGTTGCCCCCTCTCTCACCTTGTCATATATGATTAGTGTGGCCCTGCCCTTCATGAGGTGGTGCCAGACCAGGGTGCCCTGTGCCTCATCCACATACATGTTTCTGGAGGATCCCAGGACTCATGACAAAAACACCCAGTTCCAATCATGAGTTGGGGTGCTAATTAGCACATGGATCCTTTGTAGTAGGTATTTGAAGTACACACACGTGCTAAGCTATGGAGTTAGCATGGCTTGAAATGCTCTTGACTCTGCTGGGGTCCAGCACAGTGGTAAAACATGAGCCTTTTTGCTTTGGACTAATATCATGCATAGTTTGTACTTTATATAAGTGGATACAAAAATGTTGCTCAAAAGTATGTGTTAAACTTTCAAGAGTTTCAAAAAGGTAGCATGCATCAATTCTGGATAAACTAAGCGCGTGGGTACTAGATGCAAATTGCTACACCCATGTTTCATTTCAAGGTCACTGTTTTCAAATTTGCTCCTCACTTCCACGTCCTCAGTGAGAGTGGGATCTGACAGTAAGAAGTAGAAAGAACTGCAAGGGGAAGAAGTTAGGGGGAGGCAGAAGATAAGGGGGGGCTACCTGACCCCTGCAAGACTTATTTTTCCTGCTGTAGCAGTGGGTCGGGGACACGTTCAAGGCAAACCTCCAATAATTAGATTCTATATGTTGAAAATTATACCATATTATAAATTTTCTATGTATAAAATCTAATTAAGGGGGATTATCTTGTAGTCAGGGTCATCTTCTATTTGAGTAAATACAGTAATCAGATGAGCCCAGGTTCACTCTCGTCTCTGCCCAGACAGTTCCACACCTTTACTGCTCAGTATCTCTGCAAGGTGGTAACCGCTGTCATATATAAATTAGTTTTTAAATTGAGTGCAACTCAGTTCACAAAAGTTATGGAGGGGGGTTTGGGTGTCTTGAATCCAAAAAGATTGAGAACCACTGGTGTAGAAGAATGAAAAGTTTTGCTTTTAAATGGGGTCCTACAAAAAAGAGCGTGTCATTAGTACTATTAAGTGGTTATATGTGTTTTTTAAAGCATCACTTAATGGATAAACCAAAATTAATGAAATACAGCTCTAAGGAAGCAGCAGAAATATAAATCTAGAAATGAATCCAAGAATTGTCTCAACCCCATGCTTTTTATTCCTCCTCTGATATTTACTTGTCAGAATTTCATCTATTAGTTTTAATACTTCTCTAGAGAAATGGAAAAGGAAAAATTACTCTTATGTTTAAAAAAAAAAAAGACTAAAAGGTCTATCATTTTATGATAGACTATGTCCAGAATGATTGTCACTGTTATTGTACTTGTTCTTTGTTCATGGTTTGTATTTTCCTTTTATTATAGGCAGTTGCTGGTTACTTCGATATATTTTTTGAGAAGAACTGTCACAACAGGGTAAGTACTTGAGGTTGTACATTCAAAATTAATTATATAAGATGTATATTTTTCATTTTGTTGCCCCAAGGTGTTTGAAAGCTGGCCTATTTTGCTCTTGCAAGCATTTAAAGTGTGCGTTTTATGTAATAGATTAATGTAGCGTGATATTAAAAATTCTGTACTTCATCAGAGGATTTTGAACTCTGTCAATGCAGGTCTTGTTTTCGACTGGTCCCAGGAGTACCAAAACACACTGGAAACAAACTGTTTTTCTTCTTGAGAATCCAATTTCTGTAAAAATAGGTATGTACTATTTGAAACGAGATTTTTTTTTTTTAATACAGCATTGACAGTGTGTTTTGCTTTGTTACTGTTGAATTTATATCAACATAACTATTAAAAGTTGAAAGTGGCTCTAGAATGAATTCTTGAAGCTATACTTCACAGAATTTCCATTTTAATGCATGTAGGAACCAGAAAATGTGTGTTTGCATTTTTATACTATAACCATGATGTGTTTTTATTAGAAAAATGTTCATATTTCTACAGCTATGGATTTTTCTTTTTTTCTGTGGAAATATAATGTTATAGTAGCTGACACTGGAGTGGCCTTCTTTTGGTTAAATATTGCAATCTTGCACATTACAATAGTATGTATATTTAAATTATTCTTAGTTTATTATATGACTTTCTAGAATGTACCTCCAAAGTATGCTTACATTGATCTTGATCCAGCCCATGACTAAATTTTGTTGTTGTTACTGAAGCAGTACCACTGTGTTAATTTAATAGAAAACAATTCCAAAGAACTTACAATCAACACTTTCCATTGGATGCTCTTCACTTGTGCCTTGTCTGAATACACTAAACTGTAGCAATTCCATCATAAAATGAGATTCATCTTGAATTTCAAAATGAGCCAATTTACTATCAGTAAAGATGAACCAAAACTCAGGTGAACTATTATAGTAGAGATAGTTGAAAGTTTAAATAGTGCTAATGAAAACACTACTAAATTCTACTATACATCTTTGAAGCATTGTTCAAATAAAATCATTCTTCAGAATGCATCCCTGAATTGGTGGTTAAAAACTGTCCAACTCTACAGATGGAGAAATAGAGACAATAAACTGAATTGCCATGGGGCACAGTGAGTTTGTGCTAGAACTTGGCTTATAATTAAGAAAGTCTAGATATTTATTGCCAAGCTTGGTCTGCTGTGGGTAACTTCTTTTCTTTTTCCTTTTTAAGTGTCATTTAATATCAAAATAGAGAAAAATAATTAAATTTTATATAATGAGAAAAAAATCTTATCTCCTTTATACTTTTACATAAACAGATAGCTAAATGTTTCCTCTTTTGCTTGTTACTGCTAGAATTTTTCTTAACTAATTTGTGAATGAAGACTACTTACTTTTCTGCTCCCTTTACGCCCCTCACCCCAGCCCATCTGGTTACCTTGAAACCGTTTTTTGAAACCTTTTTCTAGTTGTACAAGCTCGTAATCGTAGTTGACCCTCACTCAGAAGAACTTATAATTAAGAGAACATATGACCACAGTTGGGGGAGGAGGTACGATGAATAAGTAAAGTAAATATCGCAGTGGTTGCAAATGTTGGTTTCACATTTTTCCCTTGTAGGTATGGTTTTAGTTAGGGGGAGAGTAGGTAAAACAGAGTAATGGGGCTAAGGATAGGGTAAAAGCTGCTCCTTGCATTAAAAAAAATAGTGGGGGAAGGAGGGAGGGTTGTGAGAGTAGTTATAAAAAGAAGCTGAGGAGAAGAGATGGGGAAGTCCTATGAGGAGTGTGTTAGAGCAGATGGACAAAACCGAGGCTGTGAATGCCCAGTCAAAAGTATAGAAAATATCACCACATTTTAAGGTCCCTATTAAAACTGCTTCTGTTTCTGTTCCCACCAGCTGTAGTCTCTGGCTGGCAACTTCCTGTAGGTTTTTTGCAAAGGTTCAGATTTCCTGAAATTATTGCTTTATTTGTAATCTGAATTAAAAAAAAAAAAAGAGAGAAAAATCACAGGATGTCACGCCAAAGTACATCTTGTGATGGCCTGCTGATGTGGATTATCATGTTCCATTTCTGTGCAGCCCCTCCTTGCCAGTGCACATCTACAGATATCCCAAGACTCTTTGAAAGAAAGCTTTGGGCTGGTTTCGAAGCCACTTAGCCTTGTAATTAAGTCATTGTAATTAAAAAAAAAAAAAAAGTCTTCCTCCCTCTTCCTTTAGAGGACCAAAGAAGTAAAAGTTACTTGGAGCAAAGCTAGGATTATTAGGAGAATGGAGAAGATCCTAATGTGTGGTTTTCAGTTGTTTCTCTATGTGCGAGGGTATGGTTGTATATGGTAATACTCCTTCTTTCAGCTTTCTGAAGCACTTGCTTTGAATGTCAGGCTTCAGGTTCTTGCTGAGCAAGTTGTAATAATCTATTCACAGCAAACAACTTGCTTTAGAAGTCAGTTGCAAGGATGTCATTAATGACCCACAGAACCATCAGACTGATTTCATTGCCACTCTTACCCTCTGCAGGATTTTTAAGGCAGTTGAGACGTACAGCTGTTGTTTTTATAGCTGTGTAGGGACACATGAGATCTTCAGAGGTGCAGTACTTTTGTGTGGTTTGTTAGTTATTTCTTCCATTACAATTGAGATGTCCTGGGTTTTTGACTGTCACTCATCCTTATGGTGTCTTTGCATATGTTTATATTTGCTTTAACACAACTGATTTGATTTGTTTCCTGAGGTAGTCCCAGTTGAGATCTGCTAAAATACATACGGTTGAGCAGCATTGAACATGCAGGGAAATTGTTTTGTAAAGTCCAGTGACATTTGTCAAAATATGCCCATTGGTTAATGTTACATAGATCAGTTCACACTTACTCACCTCCTGAAATTACTAAAAGATTTGCTTAACCCACTTCATTTGATAGGTGCAGTGACTTTCTAAAATCAGTTTGCAGAACTTGGCATATTCTGACACAGTGGTCACAAGACTAATCTTATATCAGTTCTTTCCTAGCTTTTCATTTTCTTCTCATTTCACTCTCTTCCTCATCTTCCCTTTTGCTTCTATTTTCTGTGTTGGCTTCCTTCCCTTTCTTTATATTGCTCCCTTTAGCCCTCTTTCCTCGGTCTGTTTCATACATTTTTAGGTTCCTCCTTAATGTTTAACTCTGAGTAATCCCACCTCCTTTTCCTCCAGGTAATACTTCACCTTTCTTTCCTCCAGTTCAGGGTCATGGTATTTAATTTGGACTATAAATTTATTGGACTAGTTCACAGTACAGTTAAATCTTTTCCTCCTTTCTGAGGTTATTGTCAAAGTCTGTTGGTTCTTTCCTCAGAGTTCCAAAAATCTGTTCCCCTCTATACCTAATCACTTGAAGGTGAGGTTTCTTAGTCTGTCTGCTAATTTATCAAAACTTCCTTTTCATATCTCTTACTCAGTCCACATACAGACATTCCATTTCAACTAAGAATCACGGTTCTCCCTGTAGAAGCCACAAGTGTAAAGATGCTCAGGATTTTTCTTTCAGAGCAAAAATAGCTACTCCTTGAGAGAAATAACCTGGGAGCAACCAGGGTTAAATCATTCCTGGGAGAGCAAATATCTGTACACTTTTCCTTCTAAATGAAGCTGCAGCACAGTCGTCAAGCATGGCAGTATGGCTTCTCCCTTGCCTTCCCCTGCTAGCCACTACCCTACTTCCCTCTGGGAGATGATCTGTCATCTGGGCTGGACTCTGCTCTCGTAGCTGAGTAGGGAGCAGAACATGCCCCCTTCACAATCATCAGATTATGCTGTAGGGAAGTGAAGGTTGGCCCTGAGCAGTCTGAGTCAGCCAATCAGGACTGCCCTGTGAATTGCTGCCATCTCTCTCCAGGCAGACTGAGGGAGCCTACAGAACACTCTGAGATCTGTGCACAGAGGCCCCCTTGCAAGCTCTCTTCCCTTCTGGGGCTCAGCATCCAAATGTCTGCTCAGGTGTCTCTGGGTAAGCTTTTTCTACCAAGAAAACTAACCTGGGAAATTCTCCAAAATCACATAAACATGTGTACACGGCCTCAACCTCTAAAAGATGTTCACTCGTATCTTTTTTTCATGCTATTTTGACACTTGGAGATTACGCGAAGTGGACTCTTGTCTGTGAAAGTTTATGCCTCTCTGAATGAGTTTGTCTCTAAGGTAGCATCTTGCCCTGCCTTCTGCCACTCTCCCTTTGCCAGCTCAGTTTCCCATGCTCACCTTCCAGTACCTGCAAAGCTTTATTCTGGTCTTTGCCAGCTCTTGTTTCTTTGCTTTCCTTCCTTTTATTCATTGTAGGTAACCAGTTCTAGCACCAGTAGTGCCATTTTCATGGTATGAAGAAGTGAGCCCCACTCTCTCTGTGCTCAGGGGCCCATAGGCTGCAAGGTATTGGTCCACAGGCTCCCACCCAGCTGCCACTCCCTGGCAATTGCTTTGATTTCAGAGGCAGCCAGGGTCTCTGGACCCCCTCTCCCTCCAGATTCCTCTTTCCTGCCCCAGAGACTGGTGCTGTGCAGTGCAACACAGCCTGAGGTGCCTGAGAAACATGACGTAGCCTGTGGTTGGGGAGCTTAGGGTGAGGTAGGGTGTCCAGGTGGACAGCAGCTGAAGGGGAGCTCAGTACAGCAGGGAGATGCACACATGGTGCAGCTGGGGGGGTGGGGGGGGAGGTGCAGGGCAACGGGGAGATGTGCAGTATGTGGACCCTGAGGCCAATGGTCACGTTGTTCCCAGCCACTTAAAAGTTGGACAGCCCTGGTTTAAATGATGTGCAAAGTTCCCTTGGTGACATTTTGCCGTCTAGGTTTTATAAGGATCTAGAAGAGTGAGTTTGTGACAAAGGTCAAGTAAATCAATTCCCTGTTCTATACTGGGACTTTTGAAAACAATCAGTTTACAGGCTTGGCAGAACTCCATGATCCTTGTAGACCTTTTGTTTCTAAATAAAATTATCATAAAATGAGATCCCAATCCTCTATCAGAAATATGTAGCAGCTCTTTTTTTTAAGTTGTCTGGCATCAGTATAAAGCTCTGGTTGCATTATTATGTATACTGGCTAAAATATATTGGTTGCTATGAGATATTTAAGTATGTTGAACATTTAACAGGAAATGATCTGCATTATGCCATTGCAAGATCATTACATTGCTCTCCATTATAGAGTAGTTAAATCCTTCCCTGGGTTCTCATGCCAGTTTTTATAGTCTCAAATTAGACGTGTGTTTTTTGATCCTAAAGGAATGTTGGTTCTTGACCAGT